GATGGAGGGATGGGAGCAGCCTGGAAGGAGCACAGAGATGAGGTAGGAGGTGGGAAGGGGCTGCTGAGCAGAGCTGCTGGCAGGAGAAGACGGTGCAGCTGGCTTCCCAGAAGTGGCTCATCAAAGATTTCTGGCTGAGGGAGTGGAAGGGACACCAGGGAATCCTTGCAAAAGACATTGAGACTGCCGAACGTCAGCTTCTCCGCTTCATCTGCAGCAGGTTGTCATGCGTATTGATTTTCTTTTAATAAAATCCATTCTGATATTTTAAACAGGAAAAATGAGGAGGGATGAGAGACAGGAAGCTCAGCTCAAACCTAAGGTCTGTGCCCAGTGCCCTGGAGGGAGAGAGGGGCCCCTCTCCATGGGGGTGCAGGAGGCAGGAGGGTGCTGGGGGTGAGTGAGCATGAGAAAGGCACAGCGAGGGAGGGAGATGCTCAGACTGCAGTCCCTGCTCACCCCTTCCCTCCCCACCCCACCTCTGCTCAGACATCCGCCTCCGCTCCTGCTCCTGCTCCTGCTCCTGCTCCTGCTCCCAGCGGCCCTCAGGTCACCCACTCGCCTCTGCCTGATGCAGGCACCTTTCCTGTCCCACTTGGCAGCTGTGCCACTGGGGGAAACCACATCACCTCTTTGAGGCTCACCTCTGCTCCGAAACGGGATTATACCACTTTGTGGATACTCTTCCTACTTCCACAGCCTTGTTACGCTGAAGCGCTTTGCAGGAATCTAAAAGTCTCCCCCAGAGGCAAGGGGCAGGAAGAGGGGCTGCTGTCCCCTCTGCTGGGTGGGTCTCCACTCCCCCAGGTCAGGTACCCTCCCGGCTGGTGTGCTCAACCCTCTCCTTTGCACTGGTCCACAGCCCACCCATTTCCTGTTCCGAAGACTGGGGTGGCACAGCGAAGTGGGGCAGTGCCCTGGAGGGAGGGGCTGGGCCACTGGTCTGCAAATCAAAGAGCTGCCACCACAGAGCACGAGCTCGGAGGCACAGTTTATTTTTCAGGAACAGGTAACTGAACTATGACAACTTGTACATTTCTATTCTCAAATAGGTTTTTTTCCCCCATAAAGCAGAGACTTGTTAAAATAATGATACAAATACTTATCTTACACCTCTCTAATTGCCCGTTACATTGAAGATAAAATCTCATTTGGAGTGAGATTTAAAGTAACCCAGATCCCTGAGTACAGATGGGTGCCTTCCATCCAACACAAACTGTTATAAATCTCTGCTCAACTTAATTCTGGCTTCTCCCTTAGCCTCTCTGGAAATGCTTTAGTTGTCAAAATCCACGGTTCTGGACTATCCACAGACATTTGCGAACAGTTTACCATTTCTCTTTTTAAAAGGCTTTTTCTCAGGATTCCTCCTGCCATGCCCATACAACTACAACCTCCTCCTCTCCTTCCTCCAGCCCCCTGGCAACCACCATTCCACTTTCTATCTCTACTAGTTTGACTATTCTAGGTACCTCACATCAGTGGAATCACACAGCACTTGTCTTTTTTGGACTGGCATATTTCACTTGGCACAATGGCCACAACTCGTTGCAGCGTGTGTTAACACTTGATTTTATGTGTTAGTCCCAGTAGGAATTTCTGCTACTCCTTGATGTTGGACCTGCCTTCCCACTGGAAATGAATAGCCTCACTCGTTTCACAAAATTTGGCCTAGGATTAATACGTACCAACTGGAATGCCAGGTGCGGGGATGGTAGTCTCTGCCCTCGGACACCTTTCCGGGGTAGGTTCACATTCCTGCTTCATAAATATTTGTTCCATGATTGAAATGTCAGGCTAATCTATGATCTCTGTGGTTCTTCAGTGTTTTCACAGGGAGACACTTAACCAGAGACCCCACAGATCACCTGACCCACCTTCTCTCATGGCTTTTACCTGGCTGGCTTTCAGCCTTAAGCCCCCAGGGGCCCCTCGCCCTCTCCAGTGTTCCCTGAAATCCCTCTCTGCAGTGGGGAGGTCAAGGTTAGCTTCTGGTTCTTGAGGGGAGTTGGGGAGAGAATAGGCAGGGGAAGGTGGGGACAGAGAGTCAGATGTGCCCTTTAGGGAGACCTCCCTTCCCCTCATCCGTCTACTCTTACGGGATACGTGTATACCTCTTGACATCTGAGTTGCACCGTAATGCACTTGGCCCTGAACCCAAATACATCTGGCCCTGCACCTGCATCCCCTGAGGAAACCTGTTAAAATAGAAACAAATAAAACAGAAGAAAGCAAAAGGATTCTTGGGCCCCACTCCAAACCTGTAGAATCAAAATTTCCAAAGAAGAGGGACCAGAGATCTTACTTTCTAAACTGTTCCCTTGACGATTTTGATGCTATTAGCCTGGCACTGGGAGCCATGGATATAGAGAGGAGAGAGGCCATACAGTAGAACAGCCCAGGCTCTGATGTCAGTTCCTGCTCTCATTTGCTTTGAAAACTTAGCCAAGTTACTTAACCTCTCTGAGCCTCATACCAACATCTGCCTTAGAAAATGGGAGTGGGAATTACCTGAAATGATGCAGAGAAAGCTTTTAGTACAGTGCCTGGCACACCCAGACCCTAACAAATGGGGAGCTGATGTTTCAGTAATTATTACAGCATGTATTATTATTATTATTATTATCATCACTCCAACACCTGGCATAGCCCTCTCTGAGTTCTGTAGTTCTAAACAGTTCTGGTGCTGTTGCCAGGCAAGACCCTCAGAGAGGGTGTCTGAAGTTGAAAGCCAGCCAGATAAAAGGCAGCAAGGGAGCTATTTGCTAGATGCTGGGCTCAGGGATAGTAAAAGCTTCAGGGGGACCAGGAAGATGAAAGGAAGGGTCTCACCACGTGGCCACTAATTGTCCTGCCACATCAGCATCTGCCGAAACCCCTTAGCTGGTCACTTCAGGCGCAGCCGCCAGCAGCTTTCTGCAACAGCAGCAGAGGCTACAAGAAGCTTCAGGGCAGGGGAATGCTTGGGGGTCCTCTGGAGCAGGGTACATCTGGGGCCACTCCAGAGTCCCTGCTGCTGGCTGGGAGAGGGAGGGAGTCCCCCGCTGCAGGACTGTGGTGATGAAATGATGGAAGGCTATGCTGGGCTGGAGAAAGAGACAGTCACTGCGGTCTCAGGTCTCGGTGGCAATGCTGCCTCCTCCAGGCTGAGTTCAGGGCTTTCCTGCCCATCCTGCCTCTGTGGCAGCAGCTACGTTTCTGCTCTGATTACTCACTTGTCTGCCACCCCCACTGGAGGACAGTGACAGGTCCAACCTCATCTTGACCTGCTTCCCCTCATCCTACACTGCTGCTGCACTGGGGGCAGTTTCTCAAACCCCTGTGTTGTTTCTGGCTCCAGGGTCTCTGCACTTGCCCAGTTCTCTCTTGGCTCCTGGCTCTTTCTCTTCAATCTTCAGGGCCTACTAAAGAGCCTCCCTAGGTGGCCCTGTCCAAAGGAGGCCACGCAACTGCTCTCCATCACAGTACCCTATGTGTTTCCTTTAGGGCATGTGCTCCCTCTAGAGCCACTGTGCTTACTTATCTATTTACTTGTTTGTGGTCTGCCTCCCATGGAGAGGCGCTCAATGTGTCTTGTTGAATGGCTTGATTTTCTAGTTATCCTAATCCTTGGCATCTCACATGGTGCCAGGAACCTGAGCAGTGCTGCCTAATAAATGGTTATTGAATGAATAAATTAGATCGTCAGTCACTGCTGAATGGATTGGAGTCTCTGAGTGCTCCCAGAACCAGAAATGCATTTCTTCAAGAATATTTATTAATGTGCCAGGTCCCGAGCTAGACAGCAGAAATTAGGACTGAAGCAAAGCCCACTGGTGGCCTAAATGACAGAGGTGGGGAGAAGGGTTCTATGGAGATGTGCATAGACATCTTTTCCTCCCGTCTTCCCCCCTGAATTCACTGTTCCACATGCCCTCATCATTGTTGTCTGTGATTGTGAGTTTCCTGAGTTCACTGACAGGGGTTTGAATGTTGGAGGCAGAGTCAGAGGAAATTGCTGTCTGCCAGCAGGATCAAAGCAGCCTCTGCCCCCCAATCCCCATCCCCCTGCTCTGCCCACCTACAACCCAGACAGCCTGCCATCAGGCACCTGCATTACCAAGACTGATGTTAGACAGGGGTCCAAGGAAGCTTTTGCTGTGTCTGACTTTCATGGTGGGAATTTAGAGCCCTCAGTAACCAGATGAACACAGCTCTGTTACTCTGCACCAGTCAGCCAGGCTGAGGCAAAAGGTCCCTCAGAGGACCTGGAATTGGTCCTGGGGGGTTAGGGCAGACAGCTGGCAGAGCAGGCTGAGTCCCAGGGGTGGGCTTCCCAGCCAGTGGAGGGGGAGTGCTGAGAAGCAGACCAGGAAATGAGACCAGGCCCAGGGAGGCTGGAGGGGAGGGCTCAGGGAACCCTGGAATCACCCAAGACAGACGCTGGCTGTGCAGAGTGAGGAACCAGAGAGGCTCCAAAGACCTTTCATGTGCCAGGGACTGAGGACTCCAAAACACAGCCTCAAAACACTGAATTCAGATTCTGCTGATTTGCCTGGTCCTCCAAATCTTCAAGGCACAACTAAACCTACAAACACCCACTTGAGCTGAACCCTCTGTATTTCACTGTTTGGGCCACCCCATTCCTGTCAATTAGGTCCTCAGCCTTGGGTGTTGGTGATGCCCGTGACCCTGGAGTCCTTTCCTGTCTCCTTCATCCTGCCATAATACCCAAGCAGTCCCTGGGGGCTGGGAGAGGACCCATACCTAGAAAGGAAAAGTCTCTGGCTGGAAAATTGGCCCCAGACTCAGAAGTGGCAGAGCTGGAAGGGGCCTTGAGTCTGTGGTCCAATCCCTCATTTACAGACAAGTACTGAGGCCCAGAGAGACCAGAGACATCCCAAGGGTGGGTGCTGGAACTCAGAATCTCAGCCCACAGTTCTTTCTATTCCCTGCGCTGCCCAGGATACAGCAGATGCTCTGTATATATTGGTTAGATAACTGAATACCTGAGCGGATAAATGGCTAGGTGGCCAGGTGGGTGGACTCATGGGGGATGGATAGGATGCTTCATATCTTTAGGAAAGGGACAACTACGTCCTCCTGATGTCCTGTGGCATGGTCAGCTCCACAGACCACACCTTGGAAATTTATGAATAAATGAAATGATCAATTAAACACCACCCAGAAGTGCATAACACACTACACCACAGCGACCAAACTGGCTTTGGGAATGGCAAACTATCCCAGACCAATTTAATTTCCTCTCCAATGATGGTGATAGGCCTCATCGGCTAGGAGTGACAAGGAGCTGTCATCGATCTTGATTTGAGGGCGGCTGTTGGTTCTGTCCTACATGACATTCTCATCAACTTGCCAAGGAAACACTGTCTGTTCTAGCCTCTCCCGGAGGCGAACAAGCTGCTCTGAGGCTTCACCCCAAGGCCCTGTCCCCACATCAACTCCCCGTGGGCAATGGGTTCCCATTCAGATGCCGCCTGGGCACGGCCTTGCAGGAGCCTGACGGTATGCACAAACACACGGAAAACACGGCAGGGGCTGAACGTAGATGCACACACACGCATGCGTGGATAGAGACAGGTATGCACAGGGCACACAAATACACACACATACTTGCAAACGTGTGTGTCATCCAAGGTCAGTACACCAGATATCAGCCATTCACAAGCTCAAGGTGGCAGCAATGAAGCCTGAGGATAGGGCAGGGGGTCAGTGTGGGGCTGAATTATTGATCAACTGTGGGATCTGTGGTCCGTAGACGTGCTGTCCCACGGAAATAGAATTTGAGCCTCATATATGAGGTTAAATTTTCTAGTAGCCACATTAAAAAAGTAAAAAGAGAACAGATGAAATGAATTTTAAGATTCCAGTTTGCTCTTTATATTAACTCAGTATACCCTCAGTATAATCATTTCAATGTGTAATAATAAAAATTATTCATAAGATATTTCGCTCTTTGGCTCGGGATATAGGCTCGGGACTATTTGTGGTGACACGGCTAAACGTACCAAGAAGGTCGGGATCGTCGGTAAATACGGGACCCGCTATGGTGCCTCCCTCCGGAAAATGGTGAAGAAGATTGAAATCAGCCAGCACGCCAAGTACACTTGCTCCTTCTGTGGCAAAACCAAGATGAAGAGACAAGCTGTGGGGATCTGGCACTGTGGTTCCTGCATGAAAACAGTAGCTGGTGGTGCCTGGACCTACAACACCACTTCTGCTGTTACAGTAAAGTCTGTGATTAGAAGACTGAAGGAACTGAAAGACCAATAGAAGCTGTACCTTTTCAGACAACACAAGCCACTAATAAATGGGTTAATTTATGTAATAAAAAAAAAAGATATTTCATCTGTTTTTGGTATGAAGTCTTCAAAATTTCTACTCCCTATATTACACTTACAGCACATGTCAGTGGGGACACCGAATGCAGGCACAAGGATTCTATTGGATACATTAGGTCTGCATTTAGATTTTGTTAAACTTATAGTTGAAAAGGTAAGGTTCACACAGCCAAATTGTTCCAAACACATTTAAAAGTTTTTCAACCACTGAATCGAGGTATCAGCTTTTCAATCTAGAGTAATAAAAATTTCAGTTCCCCAATGGCACTAGCCCCATTCCAAGTGCCCCACAGTCCCTGGCGGCCACTGGCTCCCATAGTGGGCAGCTGATGTGATCTCTCGGCAGCACAGGCTGGGCAGCCTTGAAGGGGAGGGGTGACATGAAAGGATTTCAGGAGGTGATGTGAGGAGGTGAAAGCTGGGCTGGGAGATGGGGCAGGTGAAGACAGGCTGAGCCCTGATGGGAGACCTGAAGGAAGGGAGGAGAAGGACCTGGGGCAGCTGGAAGCTGCAGGTTTTCCTGATAGCTGCAGGGGACTGGGGGGTGAGAGGCAGAGGTGACCGAGGCTGCAGACGGTATTGGCATTTCCCAGCCCCCAGCACACTACCACAGAACCCTTTACCTCTCCTTCAGGAAGCCTGGGGTTGCTTATGACCTTGGCTGGGCTCTGCCCAGCTCCTTAGCCACAAGTCTTCCTATATTAGTCCCTGCCTTGGGTTCCCTAAAACTGACCTCAAGCCATATGGGCTTTGGCTAGATCCTGCTTCAGCTGGGCAGGTTCTGACCCTGGAGGGTTGGCTGCCTACACCTGGACCAGCCCTGGTGATTTTTGTACCCTTGGTAGAAATAGGGAAGGACAGGCAATTGCCTGTGGTGGGTTTGGAGAAGGCCCTGGTTTGGGAAGTGCTGGCCTGAGGGACCCGAGAAGGGCTCTCCGGAGAGTCCAATGGGCCTGACTTCTCTGGGCCTGAGCCCTGGGAAGGAGCAGGGTGGGAGATTTGGGCCAGGGGAAGTCACACAGCCAAGTACACACACAGACTCACACTCTGACCCCTGTATGACCCTGTCCCTCACCCTGCCATTCTCCCCAGACCTACCTCAGGGACGGGTTACCCATGGTCTTTGCCCGCTCCTAGTGTTACCTAGTTCTTCCCTGAGCACCAAACCAGCTCCCACATCGGGGTTCCTAGAAGGGAATGAGATAGGAATGGGACTGATCCGGGAATGGGAGACCACAGCAGAGGAGTCTGGGACACAGGGAGGGGATTCCCAAAGGGGAAGGGTTGGGTCAGCAGGGTCCCTGGCATCTTCACATGCCCCCTGACTCTGGTTACTGTGGATGTGTGACACATGCAACTCAAAGGCTTCGTGGCTTAAAACAGTTTGTTGTTGTCATGTTGCCCAATTCTGTGGGTCAGGAACTTGGACAGGGACAGAGAGAATGACCCCTTTCTGCTCAGATGGCTCAAGTGGCTGGGAGCTGGAACAGGTGGTGGGGCCCACCACTACTCCCATCCCTAAGTGATCTCTCTTGTGGCTACCTTGGGTTTCCCCACTGCATGGCACTGCAGGGCCCTAAAAAGGAGAGTCCCCAGAGGTCCAAGCAGAAGCTGCAAGAGTCTTCGGATTTGCCTTGGAGATCCTGACTGTCACTTCAGGCACATTTTCAGGTTACATGAACCTCTAAGGAAAGCCCAGATTCAAGCAGAGAGGAGGCTCAGATTCCACCTTTCAATGGGAGAGTGACAGGTGTGTACACAGAAGAGGAAGGAATACAGGCAGCTGTCCGGGGAAGGCACTGCCACCAGCCACCCACCCTGTGCAGTGGCTGTTTCACCAGCTCTCCCATGTTTGTCAACCTGACAACCTTTCTGCCACTGTCACTGTCGCTGCTCAAGGGACACGTTGAAGTGCTTGTCTTACCTACTTAGCTGGAATTTAAAACCTTTGAAGTTTGAGACTTTCTCCTTAATGCCTTGCTGTCCTGCCTTTGACATTCTGGGTGTTTTGTTTCCCCCTAATCAGTGCTTCTCACTTGGTCCCACTGGCCTTCTGCACCGCTAACCTGAGGCTTGTAGGAACATCCTTGTTAGTTGTCCAGGTGGCAGCCCTCCGGCCCACCGTGGAAAGAGGTCTTAGCAAGCCAACACCAGAGCCTGGCACAGATGACCGAGGAGCACGAGGGAGGAGGATTCTGCTGGGGGCTGTGGAAGAGTCATGGGTGCTTGTGGCCTCCTGGATTTACGCTCTTCTCACGGATACATCCCATCTCTGTTCCGAGGCCCCCTCTGCTACATGTCAATGTTGCCCTAGCCTTACAATGCAAATGATATTAGAGAATTACATTGTTCCCAGGAGAAAATTTTGTTTAAAAGGAGCAAAGAAAGAAACAAAGAAATGATAAATAACAGGGGAAGGGGACTAGAAGGTCCTTTAAATAACCTACTCATCAAACTATTTCTAAATGATTTAGAGGCATTTGTCTAGGAGAAGGCGGTGTACCCAAAGGCATTCTTGCCCCAGGCAGAATGTCCCAGGAAAATGAGCCTGGGCCATGCAAGGCAGAAACTGCTGATGGAAAAGATGATTTCTGCTCAGGAGGGCAGGGGCTTGCCACTGTCTGGATCCCTTTCATTGCTCCACAAAGAGCTCTTTCTTCTTCCCCAGCATACTAAATAATAACAACTGGGGACTTTTCTCGCCTTGATTTCTGAGCCGCTTCAAGTGTCACCTGGTTACCAAGAAAATTCATACCTGAAATAGTTTGACCTTAGGTAAATCTGCACACTGCCTGGACCTTTTGCAGGATTCTGGGAGAAATAGCTTGGCTGGGAGATGGGAAGAAGGTCAGGTCATGGGCGTATGGTAGATTTTTGCAGAGTAAATCGTTTCTTCTTTTGGCTGCTGTTAGATGGGGAAAAGTAGGTTGTTCAGGAGGACGAGCACAAGCTCCCCTCCCCCTGCACACCTGGCCACCGTGTCCCAGGCTTTTTCCACGTTTCTCTGCTTTATAGCAAGGTCCGTGTCCTCCGAGCACTGCAGTACTTGGTTGCTGCCCGCCTGTCTTCACAAAGGCAGGTTCCTGGGGCCATTTACCTTGTCTTGTTCTTGGTCTTCGTGTTCACCTGAGACTGTCTTGCTGCCCTGACTTTGCATCTGGGGGACTTTGCTTCCGGAAGCAGTGCTCCTCACTTGGTCCTGCTGGCCTTCAGCCACCCATCCCCTGAGTAACACCATGTCTTACAAAGCACGGTGGTGGAAAGGGCCCAGCCAGCTTGGAAATTGGGGCTGGATTTGAATTAAGCTTTCATCATCTGTTTCTTCATCTCTAAAACAGGAATAATAAAACCCACCTCGTTGCAGGTGCAGTGAGGACTACAATTCTTGAATGGCAAGGGTCCGGCCCACTGAAAGCACTTGATAACCGACAGCCCTTGTGACTCCCCTCACCTTATTGCTGATGGGGGTGGTGGGCAGTCACCCTGTGCACCTGAGCTACAGACAGGCCAAGGCCTCTGTGAACAGCACATTTAACCGCAGAGCCTGAGGAAGGCAATCAAGATGGTGGGGATGAAGCGACCTAACAGTCACTGGACTCATGCCTTGGGCATTTTGCAGGGGGGCTGCTGTTATCTCATTTCATCCTCTAAGAGCCCTAGGAGGGAAGCACTACACGGATATTGCAAAAGAGGCAGAGTTAGGTGTAGATATAGAAGGTTGCAGAGCTGGAATTGAAACCAAGGTGAAGGTTGGATTCCAAAGGAACCAAGACGTAAGAGGTGATCTGAGGCAGAAGATAACAGGTGGCTTGATGCAGGATCTTCCAGCCCCTGGAAATGCTCTCAATGTGGGACAGGCAGACTTTGCAAATAGAAGCAGAACAAACCCCCATTGTGGGGCAGGGGACAGCGCTGGAGGGCTGGGGGGCTTTGTAGGCCTCCAGGGCCTATGTCACTGCAGCTGGCACAAGTTCTACACCTCAAGACTTGTTAACCCACCTGTCATCTCAGCACAGGTTCCTGGGACAGGGGCAGGAAACCTACACTCAGAGGCAGGAGCAGGAGGCAGTGACAGAGGCCAATAGCAAGGGACACTTCAGCCTCTGGGGACAGTGCACTCTAGCATCTGTGATCTTCCCCACCCCACTGCTGGCTTCCTAGTTCCCTGTCTTTCTTCCTTGCAACCTGAAACCACCTCCCCTCTCTCTCTTCTCCCAGCAGGTCTCTGAACTTCTGACAACATTCCCTCCCTCCTCCCACTGGGCTCTGAAGCCCAGAGAGGTGCCTCACTGGCCTGGAGACACACAGCAACTCCACCATTTACACCTGCATTTAGGCATCCTGAGATTCTGTCCCCTGCCTTTTGTCCTAATCAGGCTGATGCCTCATCCTTGGAAATGAGTCTCTTTCCTCCCCTAGAGGCAAGATGGTACAGCCCCTTAAAAGGACAATGTCTGTCCTCCCATTACAGGTCAGAGTCCCACTGACTGGCTCTTACAGAACCTTCGCAGCCTCTGGGGAATGTTATCTCCCATCTCCCCAAGCTGTGAAACCGAAATACAGAAATAAAGGCCTTTCCTCAGGGGCCCTTAATCTCTTGGCTAATCGTGGTGGAGGAGCCCTTTTTCCCTTGTCACCCTTGCCCGGCTCAGGTTTAAAGCTGAGGGCACAGCAGACAAAGAGGGCAGTGGGGCCAGCACAGACAGAGCTGCCATGGTGTCTGCTGAGTCCTGCAGTCCAGGCTGGCCAGCACGAGGGGCAGGCCTCCAGAGGCCCCCGTGGGGTCTAAATCGCTGTGGTTGGCACAAGTTCTACACATCAAGACTTGGTAATCCAAGTGCCAACTCAGCCCAGAGCTTGGGACCAGGGCACCCACGCCAGGAGGCAGAAGCTAGAGACAGTGGTGGTGGCAGGAATGCAACTTAAGATGGGAAACACGGGCTTTAGCAACAGGTAACACCCTTCTCCCCAAATGCCCAGGCAAGGG